CTGGAGGAGAAATTTAAAAAATGGGAGAAATGTTTGGATAAACAAATGAAAAAAAATGTTCAAATTGTTTAACTCAAAGTCTCAAATACTTTCAAATATATGCAGTCAAATATATTCAATCAACTAGTGGTCAGAGGTGTAAATTCTTCTTCTTTTTCTTTTGGCTTTGTCCCTTTTTTCAGGGGTTGCCACAGCGAATCATTGACTTCCATATTGCCCTGTTCTCTGTATCTTCTACTCTGACTCCAACTATCGTCATGTCCTCCCTCACTGCATCCATATATGTCCTCTTTGTCTCCTACCTGGTAGCTCCATCTGTAACATTCTTCTACTGTCACTGTCAATGTATCTGACTGTCTGTCAGAGGTTTGTATGCGACACAAAAATGAATCAAAGCCATGAATATTTGCATGGTATTTGTTAATAGGAAATACTGCAATATTTTAGTGTATATTTTCCTATATATAAAACAAACTCAATGGAAATTAGTCTCACAGTTTCTTTTTTTGTATGAACAGAAAAGGTACCACTGAAATGTAGCACCTTTATAACCACCAAATATCTGCCTCAATGACAGACTTTTTTATTTTATGGTTTCTAATCATCCTTCAAACACCAATTATTTTTCCTCTGTGTGAGTCACATGTAAATCACCTTGATTTGATCCACTGTGAAATTATGACCTGACCTGCTGCAGGCTGTGGTTTTGAAATGGGAATTTGTTTCCTTTAAAAAAAACAAAAAACATTTTTAATTTGACAAAACATGGATTTAATTAATTTTCCAATAAGGCCAAGTAATTTAAGTAATATTTGGGATTTTTTTTCCTCTCAAATATTTGAAATTATGATAGAAATGACTTTGAAATGGCCACACATTTACTGGCCTGGTATGTTTATTTATATTCACACAGAAATGCTCACTTTTTTTATCGTCAGGTAAAGACGTGGTCGATAAACACAGATCATTACACTTTAACTCTGGAAAACTGAATATCTTTGGAGTCAAAGATACTCGATCACCCTCTGTGATATTTACCATAGGTTTTTACACATTCACCTGCACATGGTCCAGTCAGTGTCCAGAGGAACAGTAGAGCTTAGAGCTATGCAACAGGCTAGCTGCAGTATCTTCATTAGATTTTTTTTTTTAAGAAAGACACAAGAGGAGAAAATATTTATAATAATAATTATACTTGTATAATAATTAAACATTTAAATGAATGTAAAAAAAATACATTAATAAAGATAACAAAAAGTGTTTTTCATTTACCAAAAATAGTACTAAAATATACATAAAATACTTTATGACTATATCAGTAAGTATTAGCTGCTCATTAAAATATTACAGAAGCTTATTAACCTTGAATAACTTTGACTACCTCTCTAATCTGGATAGATAGATAGATGGATAGAACTTTATTAATCCCTCAGGAGTTCCCTTCAGGAAATTGACCATTCAGATTCAGAAAAGTTGTCACTGTAGTAGTATTATATAATGAATTATATAATATTACCTGTGTGTATTTCTGTATATGTGTATTTGTCAAAAATCACAGGGTTAGTAGAGAAGAAACAGAAGCGTTCTCCCCAGTTCCTGCAGAAGTGAAAAGTCTGTGGTTGTAAAAGACAGAATAATCACTCTCATCGTAGCCTATTACCATGGTAACTCTGTAATTTAGCCTCGCGAGCTAACGACACACGGAGATCTATTATCTTAGCGCCCGGCTCGGGCCTCCTATTTAAAGATTCACACCATGAATGAACAATTAGAGAGAAGATTGCTGCACAGAATATGGGGGAGAGAAGGGAGACGACAAGGGAGACACGGGGGTGAGAGCAGTGTTTGTTTACAACTCCATCCACCCATCCATCCATCCATCCACCCATCCATCCATCCACCCATCCATCCATCCATCCATCCATCCATCCATCCATCCAGGATGATATACTGAAAAACAGTGATGTGTACTTCAGGCTTCAGTAAAACACAAATATCTGCAGGTTTACCACGTTTGTGTCGAGGTTGTGACTTCACACAGGTCATGGTTTGGGACCTGCCGCTGTATCGACGTCACGTTTCGTACGTCATTTATTTACAACTTATTTGCTAATCTAAGTTTTGACAAGTAAACGCAGTAAATATTGAAATACAAGTTCAGAATTGTTTTTCCAAAGTTGTACTGAGACACCTGCACAGCCCCCTCCTCCCCCAACCCCACACACACATACACACAAACACGCACACACGCAAAAAACACAGAACTTTCTCTCTCTCTCTCTCTCCATCTCTGAGTGTCTCTCTGTCAGGCCTTTTGTGTGTCTCCTAAAGAAGCTGTCAAGATGTTCCCTTTAAGGGCTCACAGGAGGGACAAAAAGCACACTATGTTGTGTTTTGTTTGCCTGCTGCGGAGTTCAGTTGAATGAGGGACCGAGTGGAAGAGAGGGAGAGGCAGAGAGGGAGAGAGAGAGAGAAAGAGAGCGGAGAGGGGGAAGCATGTAATTTAGTGTTTGCCTGGCTCTACTGTACATGGCTTTAGTTATGCTAATGAGGCTCTTTGTCAGGATGAGGAGATAGACATCAATCAGCTGTCAATTGGTCGAATGAAGGAGAGAGGGAGAGGCAGAGAGGGAGAGACAGAGAGAGAGAGAGAGAGAGAGAGAGACCCAGCTCACCCCTCCTCCTCCCCCTCCTCTTCCAATTCTTCTTCTCTGTTACCTAGCGGACTTGGGGGTCCTAGAAAAGCCCGGCAGCTGGATCCAGATCAGGATCTGGAGTCCAGGTGGAATCCATGGAGGTCTGGTTCTAGCAGCAGTTCTGAGAATTTATAAAAAAACAAAAAAGATCTGTTTTTTTGTTTCTCCTTCTTTTACTTTTCTTTTGCAACTTCATTTAAAGGATATTTTATTAGAACAGTTTAACATCAGACTAAAGCCGTCGGTCCTATCATATTTACTGGTCACATGACCTTCTTTATCTTATGATGGGATGAGATGAAACAACAGTCTGTGGATCCATGAGTTCTGCAGTTTAAGTTTTAATAATAACAACAACAACGACAATAATGAAAACATTCAAAATGCTCTTTAAAAAGTACATTTCAAGAAATCAAAAGTCATTCAAGGATTCAAGGAAAAAAACTGATGAAAAATATAAAACAGCTCATATAATGATAAGACATGCTGGAAAATATGGTTTTTGTGTCTTTTACATCTGAACATCAGACACTTTTTGAAGTGATAACATCTGTCTTAGAACGTTTTGACTTGTACTTTTCCACACTCATCTTACAATAAATCCTTTTTTAACCCTGCTGACAACAACAAACAACAACATATCACTTTAAAAATGACCCTGCTGACAACAACAAACAACAACAAAAATTATATTTTAATAATTATATTACTGAACAGACTTAGTTCAGTGTATAAATATTATAGTGTATTGTACACAAATACTGCTACTACCTTGTTTAAACCATTATTTACTTTTGTGCCGCTGAAGCTCTGTTCTGTTGTTTCTTTTGTCATTTAAATAAAAAAACACCTTAATGTAAACTGACACTTGTGGCTGATTCCCACAGCCTCTTCATTATGCTAGCTAATGTTGCTGCTAAGATAAGCTAACAGGCCCATTAGTGCCAGTTCATTTAGCTCGTTAGCCACAGCCTCGGGGATGATGACATTCATTACATATCATTAGTGCACAATTAACATGTCTCACTCTGACACCGCCGCTCCCAATGTTACACGACACTTTTAATCATGTTTTATGAAATGTTTCCGCAGACGTGACATGATTTATGAGTTTTACGCGTCACGCCGTTTATTACATTAACCGACCGTAATCACAGCAGCGACTGCAGGCCCGTCCAGGCCTGAGCAGAGCGGGGATCCCGCTCTGTCCTTCAACGGAGAATCAAAAGAAATGGGCTGAGCGTGGAATCTAATCAACCTATTTGTCATGTTAGCGCTGCTGCAGCACTGCTACTACTGCATAAAGTAATAGCACCACTGGTCATTTATGTTTAGGATACTGTTTTACTAAGTAACAGAACAATAGAACTGAATAAACATGGCTGCTCAGGTTTTATGTCCAGTCATTAAGTCATTTAATAAAGTATGAGTTGAGGCCAAATGAAGTCACCAGAGAAAACTAAGATTTTTGAGTGAATGCAACAGAAGGAGAGTCTGAACACAGATCCATAGTTGTTAACAGGATTTCAAGTCAAGTCACAAGTCCTCAATTTGAGCACGTCGGCTCAATGGGTTGAAAATGAACCCTGGAAAAATGACTTATCTCAGTTATATTTTTATACTGTATTAGTTGCATGAAATAATCTTTTTCTGATTCCTTCCCACAGGTTGACCGAAGGTCTGTGTTTGATTCCGAGGCTGATGGACATGTTTATCAGTAAGTGATTAAAATTTCATTTTTACTCCGTCACCAAAAATGTTATGATTTTCATATTACATGAAATAAAATTGTGAAAAAAGTTGCTTAATTTAAAATAGTCTTGAAGTGATACCAGTGTTATATCTTCACACACACAGACCAACACACACAGTCTCGTGCTTTTCCTCTGTATCACACTTGCATCCCACTGATCTGCACACAGACACACAGCTGAGAGAGAGAGACAGAGAGAGAGAGAGACAGAGACAGAGAGAGAGAGAGAGAGAGAGGGTTGTATTGATTTTGCTGTCTCCGGCCTAGTGAGATTGTGTGTCCTCGTGTGTGTGTGTGTGTGTGTGCGTGTGTGTGTATTAAAGGGATTAAGGCCCTTGCTCAGCTGAGATACCATCAGCCATCAACCCTTCCAGTCCGCTTCGGGCTTTCCCGGCTGCCGCATTGTCTATTCTGCTCTGCTATGTGAAAAATGTTGAATATCAACAATGGCTTTCAGTGGTGTATTGTTGAGTTTTTGTATGAACTAATCTTGCCTCAGTGAAAGAGACCTAGGGCTTGGACAAAACGTCTAGAGCCACAGCATTCCTAGCTGGCTCTCCCCTTGAACACTGAGCAGAAGGCTGGGGCTGGAGGAGGCAGGAGGAGCAGCTGGGGAAGGGGAAAGGAAAGAGGGGAAGCAGGGAGAAGGGGAACCAGGGATGGGGTTAGGAGCTCCAAGGCCAAGGGGGTTCGTGGGGAGGCCTGAGGAGGAGCCGTGAAGGTGGGGCAGGAGCTAGAAGCCCAACTCAGGTGGGAGGAAGATGAGGGAGATGGTATTAGAAAAACCAGGATGGAGGAGGAGAAGAGGGAGTTTACAGTTTAAAGAGTCAGAGAAATGAGAGAAGAAACGGCATCTGATGATGACGAGAACGTCACGGTTGACATCACGTAGGAAGAAGGAACCGTGGTCTGTCTTCAGGGTTCTGTCCTTCTGTTCCTGCTCAGGATGTAACTCTGGTGTGGACAGCTGCTAACATCCAATCAGACAACAGGATTGAAGGCCCTGTCATAGTGACAATGGTGACATCACTGGAAGGTAAGCTGGCAGAGATATTGGCTGACTAAGGAGGCAGAGAACTCCCGCTCTGACCTCTAACCCTCTGGTCATTTATATTTATCTTCATCCGTGGAAGGTTCCAGGTGTCGGTGCAGACGCTTGAGGACAAACTCAGGTGCTTTCCTGGCTCTGCTGTTGTTTTTCTGCAGATTAGTCTTGTAGTGAGATTCCGGTGGTGCTGCTCAGTGTGAGGTCTGCAGAACTCTGTCCTCTCTTTCTGTCTCCCTGCATGTCTCCTTCCTGTCCTGCTGGGACTGACGAGTCTCCTGCAGACAGAGGACGTGGAAGGGAAGTGAGACAGAGAAGGGATGTTGTTCGAACGGCAGGTTTTGTTTTTGTTGCAGACATCTACTGACCAGAGCTGCTAATGCTGCTAACGATCATTCTCAATCGGACAACCTTTGATTACTCAAGAGTTTTAGTTGATTAAATGCAAAACAGTTGTTGGTGTTCACGCAGTGGTGGCTCTGTTAAACATATATACATTAAAGCAGTTGAAATTAAAGACAATGTTTTTTTTTTACCTAGACTAAAATGGTAAACATCGTTACTAACTGGTGGATTCAAAATCTGACTTAGTTATATCTGGCATTTTACTCTAGGATTTTAAGCTAAGTTGTTATTCTTATTAAAACTTTGGTTTTGAATTTCAACTAGTTTTCCACAAAAATATTTTGACCAAAGACTGAACTTTTCATGATGTCATCAAACTGGAAATCTCAAGAAAATAAGGAATGCTCAAAATGTCACGACAAGTGCAACGCAACATGAACTACAGTATGTTGTTAAGACACACTGCTGCTGCTGCTGCTGCTGCTGCTGCTATTTGTGTCTTGATTGTTGAACAGACTTTATCACATTTATCATATTAATATAGTGGTTTTAAAAAAGAAACATTTTTTGCAAATCTATAGTTTTTCTGACCTTGTACATTAAATGTAACGTACATTTTTTTTCTGGTTTTTACGCCATATACTTTTTCATGCTCACAAACCCGTCAGCATCACTGTGTAGTGACTGTGATTTTAGACTGTGTGAAACTGCAGGGTTTGAAAGGGTCAGCATGGTGTATGTGTGGCAGTTTGAGGTCAGTGCCACGGAAACCTGGAATTGAGAGATGGTTGGCTTAACCCCTCACACACACACACACACACACATGCGCGCGGTCTAATCGCTGGCCCCCGGTGATTTGTCCTCTCAGCTTGAAGCCCTGTCACTCCTCCCTGCTCTCCTCACAATTACAGCCCTGAACTGAAACTCGAAAATCTGCTCCAATCTAGCAATTAGTCCTGAGGCCACTGACTGTGTGTGAGTTTCTGTGTGTGTGCGTGTGTGTATGACGGGTGCATATTTTTTATTTTCTTGTATTTTATCATCTTCTAAGGACCTAACTGCTTAAGTGAGGCTGCTGACAGCCTAATAGTCATTTCACTCATTTGTTTTCTGACATGGAATTCAGCTTCTAGTAATTATTGTAAACAAATAAGTAATTGCTGGAGATGATCGTTATCTGTTTTTTTTTCTCTCTAACTTTCAGATAGTAGTTTTTCCAAGACAGGATTCAACATCCACTCTACTCTGTCAGTTTGAGGCAACTTCAGCTCCACGTGGCTAATGACTTGACCTCGTCTCGTCAGTTTTGAGTCATTCTCCCTTTAAATAATGCTGTCGCTTTTAGCATTATCCTGTTAGCTGATTGGTCAGATGCACTGGCGTTAGTGCATACATTTAAAAACATGTTCGTTGTTGTCTAATCACAGTACATGGGGCTCCACCAGGCGCTGCTGTAGGCCAGGAACATTTTTGGGGAGTCCAGGACTTCGTCAACAAGTCGTATATGTACAGTTAGATTAAGTTAAAGTTTATCGATCTCACACCGGGGAAACTGTTGGTCAAATGCCGTGACCTGGTTTCGAACCGGGGTTGCTGTGGCCACAACGCAGAGTACCAACCACTATACGATCACGGCGAGCTATCCACTAAAAGAAAAAAATCAGGACGAGGTTAACGTCAAAAAAACTCACATCAGATGTTGATATTTCACCTTAATCTACAGAAAACCACAAGTCACCTGTAAAAATAGGTCAGGCCTGAAATGGTCAACTGGTTTCACTGGTTTTGTTTGTTTGTTTTCAAACAATAACCATGCCATAATCCTACACAGAGAATAATATTTATATATATATATTTTGTCATATTGGCGTCAATAAATCCATTCCGTGTGGTCTTTAAAAGACTAGTAAAACATGAACGTGGGTGTGAATTCGTGATGATGTGAGGAGGAAATGAACAGAAAAGGAGAAAGAGTGCAGCGTGGTCAGAAAAGGATGTGGTGCTCCGGGGGAGGTGGGAAGATTTTTGTGGCCGGGGGGAAGGCAGGCCTGACTGGGCAGCAACAGAGACTCTTAGTGCTGCCTGGCTTCCTCCTAAAGACTCGGACCCCCCCCCACACACCCCCCCCCACACACACACATCCACGCACCACGCTCTTGCATGTCCTCCATCCCTCCATCACCACCACTCTCTGCTTCACTTTCCTCTCTCCCCCTTTTGTCCCGTCCCTTCCCTCACCCTCAACTTCTTTCTGCTTGCTCTCTTTTTCTTCCTCCACTTCTCTCACTTCCTCATCGCCCCCACCACTCCCTCCTCCTTCACGTCTGGGCCATTACAGACACTCAACAGCGGGGTTGAGAGACGGGGGGGAGGCGGCGGTGGGGGTGGGATGGGGAGATGGTGGAGGACAAAAGGGCCTGAGATGCAGCGGTTCGATGAGAGTGGCTGGTTTTGAAAAGAAGCTGGACGGCTTCTTAATGCAGCCGGTGGACGGACAGACTGTGGGAGACAGACGGAGCGGACTCCTCTCCTTTATCCACCTCCTTTAGCTGAGGCCTGTTTTGCCCCCCCCACACCCCTCACCAAAAAAAGAGCACATCATCCGCCTTGTACCCTTTGCGCTACGCCTGATGTTTTATCAAGCACATTAAGAAGTGATGGAGGGATAGCTGCGGAGAAGAGGCAGGAAGAAAAGGGTCACATGGCTGAGGGCCAGACGCTGATGGAGAAAAGTTTTCTGCTCTCAATTAGAGAAAAACACAAACGTGTTTGATCGAAGAGTGTGTGTGTGTGTGTGTGTCTCGAGGGTCTCATCTCTTTTATTGTGCGTTGAGACATAACATATTAGTGTTCCTCCTGCGCGGCCCTTATCTGGATTAACGTTGAATACTGGCAGTGAAGTGCTGTTTACTGCTTACACACCAATGCTTTTGAAGCTACGATAAAGTCCCTACCACTAATATACAAACAGCACCAAACTGATGTCTCCCCGATCCAAACAGCATTTTCTGCCAGTCTTGAAAAAGCCTTTCATTTTTTCTTAAACTAATTTCTCTCAGTTAGATGAATAATAATTTTAAAAAAATTAGACGTAAATTCTTGTTTTCGCTCGTCTCTTTGTGTTGACGACCCTATATCAAGGACGAACAGGCCTCCCTCAGTAAACATTGATCAGGATTTCTTCACTCTGATGGTATTTTCTGCCTGCCTCTCTTTGTTGTGGGTGGTGCAGGAGTGTTATTATGGATTTGGCTCTGGGAGCTAAGCTCCTCTCCGGTTCTGATATCAGCTGGATTCTGATCAAATGCAACAAGCTGTAAATCTGCTTAAATCAGCGCGGCCTTATTTTGTACACCAGAGGACTTCACGGCTCGCTGACGGTTCTGAGGCGACGGAATGAACACAAACCGACGGGGACTTTTGATCCAATTTAACATCCGAGGAGAAGCTGAAGTTTTTAGGATCATTGTCTTAAGCCAGTTACAATAACTCAAATTAATTCATGTTGTAATTATTGATTTTTTTAACTTAAGGTATATTTTAATTAAACTTGGTAGAAACAACAATCTGTGGTTAGATATTTGTTAGTGCAGATTGAACCAAGTTTGAACTGCAATCATTGCTCAGTGGATCCATAGTGTAGCGGTTAGCACACCTGCCTTACACACAGAGGGTCCTTGTTTGAACCACAGAGAGTATCTCTAATGGTGAGACTGAGGAAGTACTGCAGTATTACTACTACAGACTAGATTCCGATCTAATCTTTGGGCACAACGATGCAGTAGTGCATACTGCATCGTTGGAGGTGTACGGCACAACCTTTCTACAGTATGTGAAAGTTGCAGGGATTATAACTAGAAATGTCCAATAATATCGGCCAACCGATGATATCGGGCCCGATATTAGTATAATTATGTCATATCTGTAAGTATTGTTATCGGTTATTCCTCCAATAATGAAAACTCGATAACGAATTATAATGTTATACTAGCACTACAGACTTACGACCAGAGGTAAAGTAGTTTTTTCTTATATACGATCTTAATTCTGGAAAAGTATTTCCAGAATATTTTTATGTATCTTGATTAAATAAACAGCTCATATACTGTACATGTGCATGTTACTGTCTACCATCTATTGTAGGGAATTAGACCACCATTATACTGTATGTTCATATTAGCATGACATGGAGAGACTGTGAAACAATGGGCGTGAAGTGGATGAAGAGGAAGGGTTTATTGCACAACAATGGGTTTAAAAGGCTTAAAGTGATCTGCAGCATACCTTCAACGACCGCCAAACACACACACACACACACACACACACATTTATACATGCAGGCATGCACATGTATGTGAACACCAGTCGTCTCAACCTGTGCATATGCCAGCACGGTAAACACACACACACAGAGAGTGCAGCCAAATCCATCTGTGGACACACACACGCACACACACACACACACACACACAGAGCTAAAGCCCTGACACCCAGGCCAACATGGACACACACACATGCAAACTATGACAGTACAGCTTAGCCTCCCAGTAAGACCCACACATCTGGTCACACTGTGTGTGTGTGTGTGTGTGTGTGTGTGTGTGTGTGTGTGTTCACAGCGGTCAGTACCGAGGCCGTTCCCTGTG